TGCTTCCAATGAGGGTAAGGAGACTCTGGGCCTAAAAGACAAAAATGCACTTTGTTTTCCAAGGGTTCATTTATAACTTAAATTCATGGTGAGAAAAACTGTGGTAGAGAGAGGGGAAAACAAAGACAGCACTCACTAGTAGAGAAGCCTGTCCTCTTGTGGCAGCGAGTGAACTCAATGTTGAAGTAGGTTACCAGCGCATGAATGTAGTCGTTCCTTTTCACCTGCAGGCAGAAAGGTGACGTGAAGGACAGGTCCTCAATCTTCACTGTGTAGATGTCCACCTCCTAATGAACCGAGAGAATCAGTAGGGTTGAATAAATAAGCAAGCAGAGGTTATATAAAAACCAAACACTTCACACTTTTGTGGAGTAAGCTAACCTTAATGAGGCAGGCAGTACTAACGAGCTGTTTGGGGTCAACAACATCCACTAGTGGCTCCTTAATGGCCACTTCCTTGATACAGGACATATCAAAGCCATAAACATTCTCCCACCCTGAAAAAGCAAAAAAAAAGCAAAAAAAAAGAAATGGTGTTCTATTTCAGACACAGCAGAAAAGATCCCAAATGCATTCAGAGATGGACACATACAGTGAATTTTGTAGTCCCTGTACTGTCGGTCCTCAATAGCAGTGACATAGAGCGTGGCTCTGTCAGGGAAAATCAAGCCATCAGGTTTCTGAAAAGAAAAATGGGCAACATGAGCATTAATCAAATTACGGTCAACATGCACAATTTTATAGTGAATAGTTTCAACACGGCAATGCTTTAAAAGGACATCAGCATACACTCACCAGCCATTTGTCTCTTGCATAAATGACAGTGTTAAGCATGGACTCGTAGAAGAGACAATAGCCCATCCACTCAGAAATGATTATGTCTACATTTTCCACGGGAAGCTCAACCTCTTCTACTTTGCCCTTAATGATGGTAACAACTGGACAAGGAAAATGAGGTTAAGGATTTGAGGTACACAATCTCATAATACAGCAAGTTCAGTTCAAAAGAATCACAAATGTGGTGTGCAAATGAGGTCTGTAAACAATAAGGAAGCCAAGGGCTATGAGAAGTTCTTACTGTGATCCAACTTGTTGGCCTTCACAATCTTCACAGCATAGTCTGATATACTGCTGCACTCAATCTGGGGAACGAATGACAAAAGAATGCAAAATCAGACAAAAGCACAGCATGAGCACCTTTACAGGATGGGCAAGAACCCCATTTAACTAAACTAGTCAGTATCCATAACAAAAACTCAACTGCTGAAAACAATGAGGTGACATTTACATAAACCGGTAGGATTTACACTCACCCCAATAACTTTCTTGGCCCCAGCTTTGGCTGCAAACATACAAAGGATGCCGGTTCCACTTCCCACATCCAGCACCACCTTATCCTTGAAGAGATGCTTGTTGTGGAACATGGAGTTTCTGTACGTCAGAGTACGAACTTCATCCTTTAGCATCTCCTGTGGACACAGAAGGGGTTTGCATTAGTCACAGATATGAAGACGTTTGATTGTACCACTCTTCACGAAACATGGATAAATAAGACTGTACCTCGTGAATGCCAAAGTGTGCATAGGAATCAAAGTAGTAGTCTTTGGAGGTCATGTCTTCTGCTGCAGGTTTTGCTGAGCTCTCTCCCTGGGACACCTGTAAAAAAAAAAAAAATCAAATTATACACTAAGGGGAAAAAAAAGGATGAGCTGGGCTTTGCTTCAGTTCAGGCAGTGTCTTTTGTATGTTGCATTCAATTTTGAAAATGGTGATAAATCTGTTTTGTGGCTATTGTGAGGAAATTTTGTTTAATATTTCAACATCGATTGGTATATGCAAAATTTTAACAAACGACAACACTTGTTTCGGTCACGACGCATGACTCATTTTAACGAATCGAATAAACGATTCAATACGCGCTAGCCACAAACGAATCGCTTGTCACCTACAGTACCAAAAGTAAGGATGTAGTAAAAGACTCACTGTACGAACAAAGAACAAATATTTTTGGTAAATGGATTCAAAAGATTCAAACCGCCGTGACCAATCAAAATCCGCCACTATTACAATTAACCGAGCTTGTGCGAACTCGAGACCAGCATTGCTTCTTTAAAAGCAGCGAAGACAATTCAAGGCGGTTAAAACCGGGATAAACGCATTTTTCCCCACACAACATTCAATTCATTAGAGAAGAAAAGTCGCGGTTATACTAATTAGCCTTTTAAATGAGAAAAATCGTTTTCATAGCGTCGGAAGACCTCTGAAACTTTTGATTAAAATGCACGTGGGCAACAACGTGATTGAGAAAAAAACGACTTTAATTAATTTACCATACCACAAATTATAGCAATCAGCTCACTAATAACTAATTAGTCGTGGTTTGGTGAACAAAGCTGTAAAAAGTAGCAAGCACATCCCATGCGGTGCTCCGTCCCATGCGGTCTGCACCCAACAATAGGTCATTATAGCGCCGCCAGCGTGCTCTAAACGACCCTCATGGAGACTGAACAAGGAGCTAGCTAACAGGACTCATAAATCACTAAATCCAACTCCATTATGCATCAAATGGTTACACGTAACATTTAAAAACTCGGAACTAACTCGTTTTAGCCTACTAGCAATAGCACACACGTGATGCTAAATGAATGAATTATTCGCGGCTAGCTAAAATGGATGCTCAAGATGCGTGTGCGCACATTTCTAGCCACCTGATAAGGACATACGCAGCACACAAATCCGTTCAACGACTAAAGCATCGGAGCTAGGACGTAACAAATAAAGCTGGCATGTTGAGTCTTAACTCTCGCAAATAGCTATTTGGCCTCGGATGTGTGCCAGCCGATATGGCCTTGAGTAGCTCCAGCTTACCTCCATCCTGTCCGCTGTCTCCGCCATTTCGGTAAACTGGATTGTACCACGACTGCAGCACAGCTCATGTGAAACACACTTGTTTTGCTCCCGCCCCTTCGCCTTTACTGAATGATTTGATTGGACGACAATCACGGGGTTTACTGTAGGCCCCGCCCACTTTCTTGCGGCTCAACCTCACTGCGTTTTTCCGCTGTTTTGAAGCGTGCCTTTCATTGGACCAAACTGTAGCGCGATTACTGATTTATTCTGTCATACAAATTTTATATTACACGTTATTTGAGAATCATGATTTCATTGTTTTCAGGTAGGCTTGTTATGAGAGTTGGACTGATGTCAGTGACCATGTACGTTTACAAAAACGTTTTAGCAAACTGTAATACATTTTGTGCACAAGAACACAGATTTGAACGGATTGAAGACATTTATTCAAATATTTATAGAATCGTACAATATTTATCTGTATCGATAGATAGATAGATAGATAGATAGATAGATAGACAAGTATCGTATGATTAATATGTGTTTATCCCTTTCACACTATCATTATCACACTATTTCAAACATTAGCTTTAAACAGGAAGACCAGTCGTCAGATTGAATTAGTGTAATTTACAACCTCTCTTTTGGCAATTTATCACCATTCCCACATACTTGCACTTTGATACTGTCAGTGTCGATCTTGTTTTCAAGCCAATTAAAATTGATATAAAATGTAACTGACGTATGAACGGACAAATGGTGTACTGAATGACAGTAAACTAGCCAATCAGAGCAGGAGAAGCGGGCTGGAGGCGGGACTTGTGGGGAGGAAGCGCTGGAGCGAGCTCAGCGCCCGTTCTGTCACGAGCTCCGTCGGGGTAACTTACAGCGACCGAGCGAAAAGTCTCGTACATTATTGACGACTAAATACAGCCCAGAGCCATCTTTTTCTCCAGAAACAGGTCTGTCAGATTAGTTCGTCAGCAAGCAGGATTCCCCGTTGTCATATTGCGGTCATTTGGGTGATGTATTCTAACATTTGATAGAGCTAGCCAGCTCGCTAGCTGTTTGGCTAGCTTGCCGTGCGTGACTCAAAGTCAGAGAGGTATCAGTTGTTATTTTAACACCATCCATCGACATATAGGTGCGTTATCATAAACTAAAAACAACACGTTGACTTGTTTTATAATTAGTCAGTGCCGCGACGTAAGCGTACGCCTTTCCATCGTTTTCCCCATTGATGAGAGTTCACGGGATTGAATGAATTAACGTTAGCCAACGGAAACAGCAGTCGCGCTGACTCCCCAGCTTCTCTCTCACCCACTGCATTCACCTCTTTTCTTCATAAACACTCGCTGCTGCTTTATTAGTGTGCTTTACGAGCGCTTACAGTTTAATTCAGGACTAAATTAGCAGCTCTAGTGTGAGTCCGTGTTAGTTAACTTAGCCCGCTAGCTCGGTGCATTTGAACCCAAACCGCCGCCTGTTAAACCTGCACCTCTGAACATCTGAAAGTCATTTGTTTCGCGTTGAAGCCGGCTTGAAGAGAAAAAACGAGCAAACATGCCGGCTGTGTCGAAGGGAGACGGAATGCGAGGATTAGCTGTGTTCATCTCGGACATCAGAAACTGTAAGTGTCCCTGTCACACTCAAACACAATTAGTCACATTTTCTTATGGGAACAGCTGTGCTGAACTCTTCCTATATACGCCCTAAACTGAACCAAAGGGCTTCTGCTTTGCTCCGTGATGCCTTTTAGGCAGAATTAAAGGTTAAATCGTGCTGGTCAGATGAGTGGCTCTTGGCGAGAGAGGTCATGGTAAGTAATCGCGCCGATCACCCAGGCCCGTTAGCTTTAGCTCCGGTGATGGAGTGATGCTTTATCGCTAGGCCGCCGCCGAAAACCGTGTTTCACTGCAGATGGTGTATCCAGCATGGCTTGTGTCTGTTGCTCTTGTCAGCTTGACTAGCTGAATAGCGGTTGATATCGCTGCTCGCCAAGAGCACTCAATTCAGATGTGTTTTTCACGATAATCCAGTTATCAAGCTGTCGCCTTGAGCTAAGCGTTATAGGAGGGTCATCTGGTTAAGATGTGTCTAGTCTTCTGGTTCTGCCTCTTTTGTGCCTCTAATTTTACCTCTTGAATCTTAAAAGGCTTTCTTTCTGGTAGGAGTTTGAGTTCCTAGTCATTTTGTGATTAATTCTAGTAATTTTGTGGAGTTTTGAAGAATGGCTGCAAATAAGATTGATATTCGTGAACTTGTTTCGTCCTCGTTTTCTGTTGAACGCCTGAGAGTGTTAAAACATGCATAATTCCAATTCGAAGGTAACTTTTTGGGATAAATTTTGTGATATTAGTGATGAATGAGAGTGAACTGTTTTGCACATATATTGACTTCGCATTGTAGTATGTATCTTGCATCATAATTTGGCACCACATGCACATGAAGTTCCAGGAAACCTGTGTGAGATTGCTGTTTTTCTGGCATGCTGGCTTTTTCTGGACATAATCTCCTCATTGTCCACATTTTATTTTAGGGCCAGTTGCATAAAAAATGTGTGGCTTCTATACTAAAGTGGGTAGTGCATGTTTTTAGGAAGATGATATACTCTCTAGGGTGTTTTATCATGATACAATCTGACATTAATTCCCTCTTAGCAATGTGGTGCTTGTCAATACATCAAAACATGCTGTGATACGATTTGATTAGATTCAGGGACATGTGATCAATATATCGATATTACAATGTTATGTGCCTATTTCACATAACCTGTTACATTTTTGTTTAATTCACAAATGCAAACAAAATATAACACGGACATTTAATTGTACTCTGGAAATAGAAAATCGTGTATTCCAGTTGGGACATCCAACAAAAAATGATATAGAAAAAACATGAGTCACACATTAGGTTATCAATCGTCTAATGTCAGCTCTGCATTGGCTTGTGCAATGAGATAAGTAATGACAACAGTCAAGTCTTTTGTGCTCTCCAAAATGTGCAAAAGTAGTATTAGGACATAGACAACAAAATCAAGTATTTAAACTGTTGGGGGGAAAAAGTTTTGTGCAAAAAATAAAGACATTTCAAAAATTAAGTTTTTAAAACTTATCAAATATTCGATGACTGCTCAATTGCAATTTGACATAACTCTCAAATATTATATAAGTTTAAAAATATAAATATCCATTTTTATGCATTACATCAATATGCCATATCATTAGTAATTTGATCGTTGGTCAATGTCATTGTATTATTTCACACCTATTGCTCAAGCGTTTTAATCCAGCCTGTTTTGTGTCAGTCTGTCTTGCTCTACTCTCTTGTTTAGCTCATAAACAAATGAATAAATAGTAAATACATTATTTACTATATTATGGAATTTGCGGTGTTGCCCAATTTGCGGTGTTAAGTCATGAATCATTCCACTCAATTCATAATTCATTAATTGGTATTCTCTGTAGTGTACAGATGCTTGTCACTGTCTGCCACTATTTAAATGAGCTCTTTTCAGATACATTTCAGCATCATTTTGAGCTGGAGAACAACACAAATGGTAAATAAGAAAAAGAAATGTGAATGCAAGGTATGTGCTGACATTCGGGCAGATATTTGATTCTGAGGTCATGGTAGTAGTGAGTTAATCATAACAAACAAACCATAAGATTATGCTCATTGATGCCTGAGCTCAGTCCATTTTTGGTAAAGGTTGTGCATCATTTTGCATGTCACCTGGAAAACTTTTGTAGTACTACACAGTCTGAGACACCTTTATGATGCTTTTACCAAGCTAGTGATCTTTTCTTTATCATCTATATGCAGAAAGGATTGTTGCTGTTTATTCTGTGGCTTTGTCTGAGAGTTAGTGATGACTGGCGTTACCCACAGTTGAAATCAGATTGCATGTTACTGCAAGCTTTCACACAGAGAAGCCAGCTATTAGACAGCTTGAACCTTAAGTTCGTTAACATCTACAGTTACATAAATTGTAGGAATGATGTTGACTCATGCTGTTTGCAGCTATGTCAGGTTACTTTGGTGGAATGAGAATATATTCTGCAAATAAAAGCTAATTCAGGCCTTCATTGCTGCCATACTTGCAACATTTGTGAGTCGATTGCGAATCTTATATAACCGGTGGTCAATTAAATTATTTTAACTTAAATAGTTTAACTAAAACATAGTTTAAGTCATTTGTGTCCTACTGCAGTCATTAAAACTGCAACACCAATAAAAGCATACGTTAGGGCTGGGCGGTATATCGAGTTTGTACGATATATCGATATATTTTAATAAGCGATACGGTATGAAGCAATATTGCCAATGTTGAGTTTGATAGGAGCGCATTTGAAAAAATATCTAGGGAGGACACAGACTGAACTGCTGCGGAGAAAGTGCATAATACAATTTGTTCTAAACATGTGACAAGCTTTATATGAAGGGCTTTAATAAACTCGTAAGTAGTGTTGTCACGGTACCAAAATTTCAGTATTCGGTACCAATACTAGTGAAAATCCACGGTTCTCGGTACAAATTTCGGTACCAAAGCAAAACACAAAAACATGCTAATTAAAAAATTTGACTATACTTTCATTTAATCCAAACTGTGTACATATTTAATTTTAAAGGGCTTTTGAAAACCTAGAGTTATTCAGCCAAGAATAACAACTAAGTTAGCTAAAAAAAAAAAGCCCGGAACTGCTTTTCTGACTGATATGACACCAACAATGTTAACCATTTGTACATTCTCTAACACTCATATTTTAGATTTACAATACATTTAAAAGCCTCTGGTGTGTAAAAATAGTAAATATCATCATGTCCCTCCTGTTTTTTTTACCCTAATAAAAATTATAGGAGCATTAAATAGTTAATAAAGAAACCAGAGCGGGAGAGATCGAGGTTTCCCCAGTATACATAAAGCAGCGCTCATCAGCTCACAACCGCTGCTCAGGCATTACAGGCAAGATGAAATGAAAATGACATCCATAATTTTCTGAAGACAGTCGGTTTCCTTCAGACGATATCTCCATTTGCATTGAAGTTTCAGCTTCGTAAACTTTGCAGATATTGTTTATGCTCAAATCGCTTCAAAATATCGGT